TAAGAAACTAAATTTGCCTAAATTAGCGCTTTGCTATGAAAATTTCCTCTTAGAGCCCTATATTATTAATAATTTACGCTAAATCTAGGATATTTTGTCCCTTTCGCAAAAATGTGAGATTTTAGCAAAGTATTTATAAAATTAAAATATATTAATAAAATGCTAATAAAATGCTTATATTTGCAAAAATTTTTATTTTAATAGTACATTATCAGCACCGTTAAATTACTTATTTTTATCAAGTTCAATTTTGACAGATTTTTGCAAAGAGACTAGTAAATTATAGAGCCTAAAGTAATCAAGATTTTATTTTTCTTTATCATTACTTGTATAAATTATCAATTTCAATTCAATGCGAGTTTGTTGTTTTAAACTTACCGTTACGCATCTCAGATTTTAATTTGATGCAACTTTACGCATATTCTAATTTTCACGCACAATATTTATAAGCTGAAACTTGGTTTTTACCAATACCAACAGATCAGGATAATATAATGTCGCGATTGAAGATGGAAACGGCTGAAACTGGAAATTTTAAATACTTTAATATGAAATTTTGGGTTACTTTTTTTTTGGCTTTTTTTATAGTTAGCTTAGGAATTAGGGTTATTTTTGATAATAAAAATGTATAAGCGGATTTTGGTAGAGTTTATATTTCAAATCGAGGTCTCTGATTTCCAGCTTCAGCCGTGACATACAGTATTGTTACATATACTCCGGGTACATCTTTGGTCTTTGTAAATGCCCGGATACATTGGCTAGCTTTATTATAAATGAATAGTTTAAGGCTTTAGTCGAACAGGTTATACGAGAGTGATTATGCGTTGCACCGGTCAAAGGAATGTGTTTTATGAGCTAATTGGATCTGTTTATTATAGTACTTAAGACTAACTACTACTTTGTTCTACATTTTCTTATAGGACAAAGGGGTTTTTTATACAATTTTACAAGGAAGGAAAAAAGAAGAAAATCGAAAAACCATTCAAGCCATTTCGTTACTCTAGTATTTTCCCTCCATTGACACATTACCACTGCCACACTTAACCCGACAAGGTAATATTAACTCAACCCAAATCGGGTAAGTGGTGTTACACCTAAAAGATACCTCTTTTAAGTTCGGTATAACTAATTTACTTTAGCGGCGGATATGTTAGACGGTTAATAAATAAGTGTACATTATTGGACAGACGACAAAAAATAACAGTCAATTTTTTTTTTTGTCGGAATTAATATCACTCCATGTGCTGCGTAGCAACACATGAGTGAAATTAACTCCGATGAAAAAAAAAATTTGACTGTTATTTGTCGTACGTATGTAATGATGTTATTGGATAGTTAATATGAACATGTGAAGTTTTTTCTGTGATATTTTGCAAAACTGATTACGTAATTTCATGTAATAATATTATGGCAAAAAAATTCACATGATCATATGAAATATCGAATAATAAGGTTTATTGCAGTTACGCTTTAAGAGGATTATGTGATTTGCAGTTACGTAAGAGGATAACGGCTAAATGTATATGAAGATACAAATAGGAGTATGAATGTATACAGTGAATACAACGTCTCTATCGCAAATTCCCTTTACGGTAGTCACGTGATCAAGATCTTAACGATTAAGGTTGAGTTTTATATGGTGCATGAAGACATGATTTATTATTTTATTTAATAAATATGAGTTGCGAACTGTCGATTCTTAGAGAGAAATTGAGGATATTTATATATGTTTGGCGACTAAGATAAATAACTATTATATCTACCAGCTACACTATATCTGCTCTATCTAATAACTATACGCGATATAATCTAACTAGGGATGGTAAAAAATCATTTTTCACCGATTTAAATCATGTGATGATTATGATCTGATTATATTAAATTTAAACTTCAGCATATCAAGATTATAATCATCGCATGATTTAAATCGGTGAAAAATGATTTTTTACCATCCCTAAATCTAACCAGTACATATAATAGAAATAAAAATTACAATAGTAATAATAAGATATCTACGCGAACTTTGTACTACATTAATGCACGTGCGATAAATCATGTGTTACTAAGTAAAATTTTCGGGTCTAACAGTGGCTTCGCACTATGAGATCTACGGCGTAATGCATTCTGGGACTTGATTTTATGCATTTCCACGGTCTTGCATGCAGGATCGCGTAACGTTTGTGGTCCATTTTGCCGCTAACAATATTTATATTTATCTTCATAACAATACCAAATGGAAGGTTTACTCTTTATCTTTATTACTTCATCTAGTGCTTTTCTTCCAAATTCACCAATATTATTCTCCCTTAAATCTAATTGACCTAAGGTGGTATTTTTATATAAAGCTTCGGCCAGTGCTTTTCCTTCCGATTCACCAAGATTATTCTCCTTTAAATTTAAATAAAGTAAGGTGGTATTTTTGCATAAAGCTTCAGCCATTGCTTTTCCTCCCGATTCACCAAGATTATTCCTCGTTAAATTTAAATCAGTTAAGGTGGTATTTTTGCATAAAGCTTCAGCCAGTGCTTTTACTCCTAATTTACCTAATTCATTACTATTCAAATTTAAATTAGTTAAGGTGGTATTTTTGCACAAAGCTTCAGCCAGTGCTTTTCCTCCTGATTCACCAAGATTATTCTCCTTTAAATTTAAATCAGTTAAGGTAGTATTTTGGCATAAAGCTTCAGCCAGTGCTTTTCCTCCCGATTCACCTATTACATTATTATTTAAATTTAAATTCGTTAAGCAAGTATTTTTACATAAAGCTTCAACCAGTGCTTTTCCTCCTAATCCACCTATTAAATTATAACTTAAATCTAAATTCGTTAAGGAAGCATTTTTGCATAAAGCTTTAGCCAGTGCTTTTTCCTCCAGATTCACCTATTACATTCTCACTTAAATTTAAATTCGTTAAGGTGGTATTTTTGCATAAAGCTTCACCCAGTGCTTTTCCCCCTAATTCACCTATTTTATTAT